GATGAGTACTAGACCACCTCTAGTTTATAAAACCAACGTTTCACCCAAATCTGATGTGGAATTTCAAAATAAAACCTCTTTGAAAATGGTTATATATCGTTCATTCCTCTACTTTGAAAATTAAAAAAAAAACATTCCCTGTTATGCCAGTATCTGGTGTGGACAACTGTGTACTAGACCACCTCTAGTTTATAAAACCAAAGTTTCATCCAAATCTGATGTGGAACTTCAAAATTAGAACTCTTTGAATATGATTATAAATTGTTCATTCCTGTACATTTAAATAATGTTTTAAAAAACTTCCCTGTTATTATCTATTGTTGACAACTGTGTACTAGACCACCTACCCTTCATAGAAAAAAAGTTCCATCCAAATCTGATGTGGAATTTCAAAATAAAACCTCTTTGAAAATGGTTATCAATCGTTCATTCCTCTACTTTCAAAACATGTTTAAAAAAACTTCACTGTTATGCCAGCATCTGGTGTGGATGGATGAGTACCAGAACACCTCCCCTTCATAGAAACAAAGTTTCATCCAAATATGATGTGGAATTTCAAAATAAAACCTCTTTGAAAATGATTATAAATCATTCATACCTCTACTTAGAAAAAATGTGTAATAAAAACATTCATGTAACACCAGTATCTGTTGCAGACAGTTAAGTTCTAGACCACCTGTTGTTCATATATAAAAAGTTTCATCCAGATCGCACGTCGATTTTCCAAATTATTACCGAGTCCTCCAATTAACCAAAACATTTTATTGTAAACATTACACGCTGATTCGTCTGTTGTTTGCTACCTTCTTCTCACCCTTCGTCCTGAGCCATCAGAGTGAATACAACATCCCCGGCAGTAGCGGTTTTAGGCACGGGCAGACAGGGCAGTTGCCCGGGGCGGCATTTTTTCATGACACAAAAAGGGCGCACAAGCGCTGAGTAAAAAAAAAAAAAAAAAAGGAAATCTGCGCCGCACCGAGGTTTTCTATTATCTGTCATATGACCGTGTCTGGATTGGAAACAGCACGTTGGCGCCCCCTGCAGCTGCAGGCGCTCCGTGCGCCGTGTGTGTATGAAGAAGAGGTTGGGGAGGGGTGCGGCGGGGGAATTCACCTCTGGGTGGGTCCAAATGAAATGAGCGGGTAGGGGCTGAATCAACTATCAACATGGCTAAAGTCGATCACATCTTGATGTTCTTCCACATTTCATTCATAATATCATAAACACAGGCCTATCATTCTTTCAGGTGTTTCTGAATTGTGTGAAATGGCCGAATAAAAAAAGGAAAAACAAAACGATTTTGTGGTCACCCCCCATCAAGGTCAAATTGTTTAGTCCTGACTAAAGGAAACTTATTGAGTCAAGAGCCAAACAGAAGAGATGAACATAAAAAGGCTAAAACCACCAGGTGCCCGATTCAGGAATAAAAAAGAAAAAAAGAGGAGAAAAATAAAGGTATGTACGCTCTCATGATGAATGTTTTCAATTTTTTGAACCAGTTAACCGAGATTTTAACGGTTAAATTCGGTCAACTAGTTGCTAACAGAGCTAATAGGGCTGAAATATTGAAACGAATATTCAAATGGTTCGAATAAATTCCTTGGATCGTTTTTTACTGATTCAAACTAGGATTTGTTAAATGCTCGCTGCAGCCTGTGGCCTGCCTGAACAACAACAAACACATGTTGATCAAGTTCACGTAATAATAAATAAAACAACTCTACAAGCAGAAGAAAACTCCCCAGTCACCACTAACTATCCTGTTTATTTATTGCAGATGGCTGCACTGATTATTTTTTACCTGGTTTGTTCTGTAAAAGTTGGCATTTTTGGTAGTCTACAGTTTTTTTTATGTCAGTTTAAATTACAATTTCAGAGGCAATTCTAAAATATTATGGATCATGATAAAGATCTTTTGGAGATCTACCCCAACTTTTGGACTGCTCTGCCAGTCACTGTGGCTCAAGCTGAGAGGAGCTTTTCAAAACTTGATCGTCGTACCTGAGATCAGCTATGTTTCAGGGGCGGCTCACTAACCTGGCTCTGATTCGTATCAATCACTCAGTAGGGGAGCAGATTTCATATGATGACATTATTGATGACATTGCATCAAGGTTAGGTTTTAATTTTAGTTTGTGTTTTCTGTTCTAAGTGCAGTGCTGTAGTGATTATCTTTAGTTTGTTATGTGTGAAATATTTTTGCTATTTAGAATATTTATTATATATTATGTGCATATATTCTTAATATTTAGTTAGTTTAGTTGTTTTTGTATATTTGATTCTATATATTTTGATACAGTATATAATGTATATTGCTTTACATTCTGGCAACTTCATAGTAATTAATGTAAATATGTGCAACTTAGAAAAATGAATGTTCAATAGTCGTTCTAATAAAACATGCCTGTTTGTAGAAAACGTGTGTGTTCGTGCAGGTGGGGTGGTGTGGTGGTGGTGGTGAGGGCGGTTGGGGGGGCGCTCAAAGGGGGCCTCGCCCGGGGAGTAATTCCATGTAGAACCACCACTGATCCCCGGTATTGCTTTTGGTGTAAATAAAATCACTTATGATTTTGGATGAATGAAAGTTACACCACCGATATTTGTTAGTACTGTAGATTTCCCAAAATGTTTCATTTTAATCAAAAACAAAAAACTGAAATACAAATAAAATAAATAGATCAGACACAATTGTAAGTGTAATACATATCACTTTGTTACTTTTCTACATTTTTTGTAGGAAAAGTTTTTGCTTAACTTTCTCATAAAATATGCAAAAAAATGTTTATATTAATGTTTTATGTCCTTTGATTAAATCAATAATACATATTGGATATTTTGTGTGTCAATATTCAGTCTTGAAAAGGAAGAGTACGTGTGAACTAAGATTTAAAGCTACACATAGTTTGAAAACAAGCAATAGGATTTATGTTTCATGTCATTTAAAACTTTTTTTTTTGGATGTCAACTTCTATCAAACAATTTATGAACTGTTAAAAGTGAAACATCTGTAATTAAATGTATTTAACTAAAACTTTATTAAATGATATTTTATTTTGATATTTTGTTATGCTAACGGTCATACCTTTCAGGGAGAATGCTTTGCCTCCACATTACTGACTTTCACAATTTATCATCGAATGAAAATACGTCATCAATAACATACATTTTAATGCATGTTGTTTGTATTTCATGTATTACAGATCAACACCTACCTCATGGTCAAGGTAATATCGTCGGATCTTTTTTATATTTGATTTATTATTAGGCATATGTAGTGCTGTGCATGCTTTAGCCCACAAGCCATTGCTAGTAGTCACATTTTCATCTGCTCCTCCACCACAGCAACAATGTCCTTAATGAAAAGTATTTTAGATTTGTTCTGTACTGAGAAATGAAAATTACAAATTACAGAGCAATTTCATACAAAATTTATAAATTATAAAAAGAGCTATCACATGTAGTCCACTTAATATTTCATACTCACCCCAAACAATCTGAAGAAGTGAACTCTGTAAGTTTAAATAATCTATTAACTGATGTTAAAATGTATTTGAAACGTAATCTTTTTTATTGACATATACATTAACCTTGATTGTGTATATGCTTTCATAAAAACAGATTGCACTCATATGAAACTGCATATTAGAAGCAGAAATCGTTAGTTAAAAAAAATGTTTTAACTACTTACCTATGCTCTCGCCGTGACATCGTGGTGCTTAATTACAAAATGTAACTGGGGGGAGCGTTAGCCCACTAAGCTTTTTCCTGAAGAAGTTATAACGTACAAAGTTTCTGATATGGGCGACCTCCCTTTATCCCATCTTGGTTTGAGAGGTGCCTGATGGCAGTTTATTCTAGCTTCAGCTTTGCTACTATAAATGCCAAAATACTCCCCAGGGAGCCGCGGCTAATCCCGTTTTGCAACCGCTATGGTCCTGCAAAAACAGCTTGATTCTCTCCAAATGTAAGGTGCTCCTCATTGAACACTGCTCCCAACACAACATCCATGGCTGCGGTTGGCACTAAATGCACTATGAAACTTTACTGTGTGCTTTTCAGCAAATATTGTTACTGTTAAATATCCTGATGCGGTTGGCGCAGTGATATTCTGTGTGTCCCCTTTTTTCCTCTTCCTGCTGGTCTAGAAGCAGATTCGTGTTCATCCTTAATTGTTTATTTTTGTGAACTTCCCCCTCACCTCTGCCTTCCCTCTCCCCCTCTCTCTTTCATTTCTGTCTTCGTGTCCGTTGAGCTTCAAAATAACCGAAAATATTTCTAAACCAGTTTTGGTATCAGCCAGGCGAGGCTTTAACTTCTGTGGTGTTCTAAAGTCCACCGAGTCCTGTAACATACCTTGTGCCATATTATGGTTATCGTGTTTCCCAAAATTAAACAGATTTGTGAATGACATTTGGGAACATATGACATCCAGGTATAAACTTATGACTTTAGTCTTACACCTTGTCTTCATGTTTTTTTTTACAAACCACTATAAAGGAAACCCAGTTAGAAACTAAAGATAAAAATCTACTTTCCCGTCTTTCTTTCGGGGGAATTTTTGTACAAAAAGCAGAAATATTTTTCTTCTCTAGCCATTCTTTTAAACGGCCATGTTGATTCCCTGAGCAGGGAAATCTTGTGTAGACGGGACTTTTCAAGACATAATAAAGAGCAGATGAGTTGGTAATAAGGAAAACTCCCAGGAGGGGAGCAGTAACCAGCTTCTCACTGTTGAGACACTTTAGTTCCTTCTGCTGCCTTTGAAGCAGCACAAATCTTATCTCACTCTGGAAATGTTCACTCATAAAGGTAAACTGGACCTAAAGTACATTAACGCCTATAAGACTTTCGACTTTGGACTCTGTTTCCGTGAGTTTTCCTGCAAACCCAACAAGTGAAACCAGATGTTGCAGATGTGGGCCGACTCCCTGAATTTTTCCCTGCAGGAGCAAATAAAATTCCAGACAAACAGAACAGACAGAATTGTGACATATTACTGGTTTGTTTTCTGAAATACATCCTTTATTTCTGTAAAAAAAATACAAGACATGAAAAAAAGTAGAAAAAGATGCTCAAGCTTGTGTTAACAGTTTAAAAACACTGGATATGCTTTGGTTCCTTTTCTATAGAGGTGAGATGTCATAAGGCAGTGTGGCAAGTTTAGTAGCTGCATATATTTGAAGAAAAAGCACAGATGGCTGTAAAACCTCACTAAATTTATACAATTTAACAACAAAACCTCAAATAAAAAAATGCATATTTGAAACAAACAACCTGCTTTTTTCAATATAACTTCCTAAATCACATTTAGATCAGTTTAAATGCATTTTTGACAAAGTTACAGCACTTCCTTTAAATTTTAGTCACAGAGGTCACAAAAAAACTTCACCAAAACCTCAACTTCTGCTTCTTTTTTCCTTCGTATTTCCGTTTCTATGAGATTTTTACTCCTGTTAACATTTGACCCGCAGAAACTCGAACTGGCACACAAACACAGGGGCAAGGTGGAAAGCAAAAGAAAGCGAGGTTGCGCTCGGGCAGCGGTGTCCACGGCAACCGCCTAACTACTAAGGAAGCATGTGATTGTTTCTCGTCTCTGCTACTGTTCTGTTTGCTCTGGACACGAGTGGCTTCACAATAAGGCTACGGATTCCACATACGATTCCATTTAACCAGTTTTATCAGCTAAATTACGTAATGGCTTTCCGTAAAACTTTAATGGGAAAAGCAATGAAAGCTCTTAAGTCATGCATAGGCAGATTTATGTGGCATTTTTGTTAATTCTGTTATTTGGCAGGTGAAACATCCTCCAAATTATTTTTGTGAGATCATGCTAACATGCTAATTAACATCAAGTACAATGTGAAGCTGCTAAAAACCGTCAGTATTTTGGCAGGTTTTTATCACAAGGCAAATAATTAGGCACACATCTGGAGACTGACACCTTCAAGACAACAGCAGCAACACACTGTCTTCAGGTAACTTCTACTTTGACTCAAACACTTAGTTCATGTATTTTTACATCCACAGTGAGACTGCACTTACACTAGAAAATATCCAAAAAGGTAGAGATGGTAAAAACCTGTAATGACAGAAAGCATGAGGTTGAAATGTTAATGCCACTCTAGCAAAGAATGCACAGGAGAGTAAAAAGCTTGGAGTGATCATCAAAAATAAACAAAAGAAGAGTGCGTTAATCAAAACTAGAATACACTATAAACAAAATCTGGTCCAATCACAATACAAATGGAGAATAACAGGCGTGTTGCTCCTTCTTTTCCAATAGTTATGAAAACACGGAGCTGCGTTGGTTGGCCTCTCCCACTTTCTCAAAGAACATGAAGTCCTGCAGAGCAATAACAATGATGATAATCACCACGGGGCAAACATCAAACATGGTACGAAGGGCCACTGGAGGCCATGTTTGGGAACTTACAATGAGGAAGCAGGCGCCCATGAGCACGGCTTTCATCTTCACGTCCAGGTCCATTGGGAACTGGATGCCGAAGTTGTCCGTGTCGGTGAAGACCTCTTTCAGGAGACCGCTCCACTGCTTGCTGATGCGGCCGATGCTTTGCTCTCCATCTTTCCCCTTCAGCTGTGTTAGAAATGTCAGTTTGTCTCCAATCGCTCTCACTGGCCATTTTATTAGGTACACCTTGTTCTCAGAACTGGTTAAACTCTATTACAGATTCAACAAAGTGGTGGAAAAGTTTCTCTTTTTCATATCCTTCTCTCTAAACCCACTCTGGCCAGATTGACCATTTAGTCACATAAACTCACTAACTTCTCACACGTAGCGACTCGTGCGGCTTACTGAAAATGTGTATTCTCGTGATTTTTGTCTCAGACCCAATCAGACTTCACCTCAAAGTTGACGTCGCCGCAGCAGTTGCAGGCAAAGCAGGGCCCCTCAAGTTTCATCAACGTCTCCTTGTTTGGCCCCTGGATGGAAAACTTTGGCAGGAAAGGGTGCCAGTCCTGTTTGACAAACCCTACGGTGGTGCCCGGCGGTGCCTGGACCTCCATCTGTGGACCCACATGTTTATATTAGACATTCATTACCCAGCACAAGCAGATATAAATAAAACGCCACGAGGTCGCACGGCTTGTTAGCCGGGACAGCAGGAATGATAATTGAAGCTGTGACTGCTCTATTGTTGAAGCTAATAGCGGGGGTAACGTATCTCACATGGCTCTTAACGGGACTGCAGTGTGTGCACTGGATCAGGGCGGATGGCTCGCAATTTGATTAAGCTGGGGGAGGAGAAACGAAGGTCCCACGGGGGGAAGGCAGAGGGTGGAAGAGTGAAGAGGAGATAAGATGGGACAAAAGAGGCTTTGATGTTGGTAAAAGACAGTCCGAGCAGCAAACAAAGACTTGATTCACCTCAGAGCTTTTGAACTGGGCTTCAGTGGAAAGGTTATCAAAATGTAATATCTCACTGACGGAGATGGGTCCGTTTGGAGCAACACCGAGGAGCTAACAGCTAGTCCGAGCAAGACCAAGATCAGCTGCTGTCGCAACCGAAAGCAGTAATCCAGACTTTCTTCCTTTTCTGAAACATGTCAGCCTACAGATCTAGACAAACCATAGCAGTAGCATTGGCTTTGCTCCGCAGGTCGGTCCAACTATGCTCCAGTGTAGCCTCAGCAGGTCTACCACTGGCCCGACTAAGTGTGGGTTGGGCCAATCACAGCACTATCTATGTTTTTAGTGACACTGGACGGGCTTAGCATCAGATATGTGACAAAGAAAATCTAGAAAGTTGGCGTTGGTTCAGGAACCGTGCTCCTTTGAAACGGCTTTGGCATCAACGTTGGACCATTTAGACCTGGGCTTTTCTTTGAGTCAAGAGCAGAAAGAGGAACTTCTAAAAAGGATGTATTTGCTTCGATGGTACATGGTGGACCGCCCCATTGACTGGTTTCCATCACAATGAATACGGCACGTTGTTCATTGCTCTGATAGGTCCTAGCACTGTCCAATAGCATGCAGACAGTCTGAAACACAACAGTAGAATCCGTCCTACAACTGAACTCGGTCTATGGGTCATGGCCAGACCATATATTTACATATATAGGATGGCTTGCTAACCCCAACCCTAAACCATTATTTATCAACAATCTGCTTTTTTATTCAAATCCACAAGTTAGTCAGGTTTTATAAATAGATTTTAAGGCATTTATGAACATCTGCGGTAAGTTCTTGAGGTGTTTTTTTTCTCCAATTGAAGAATAAAAACTGGGCAGGGTCAAACATTACAATACAAGTTCATGATTCATTTATAACCAAACAAACTGGAATAATCATCAGTCAGACCTCTTGCAGACAGCAGGGACACCAGCATGAGACGCATCGGAAAGGCCGGATGAGACGGATGACCTCTCTGTCCGCGTTGTCCTTGATCTTCATGTCAAAGCTGCGCAGAGAGCCGCAGCAGTTCCTGGTGCAGCAGTCGTTCTTCTCTTTTGCCTTGTAGATCTTCTGGCCCAGGCTGTTCTTTATGTCATACTGGTTGTTGGTCTCAAAGCCAATAAAAGCTGGGTGAGGTTGGAATAAACCAGAGTGGCAAGGATGAATGAAGCACCGATAAAGGACAGTATGGATGCAAGTGGTTTTCCGATTATGTGGGAAAGGGGTGAACAAGTTTACCTTCCAGGAGCTCGACTTTTTGATGAATCAGGATCTGATCGATCTAAAACGTGAGAGAAAGATGTCACTTTGTGGTGGAGTAAACCATTCCAGTCATCTGAGAGTCAGCGATAAAAAAGAAAGTATGTTTGCAATGCAAAGCAGCTCATGTCACGTATCAGAGTTAACTATAACCGGAGAGCCGATGAAGCCCTTCCTATAGTGGTTCCTCTAGATGTTTGTGCAGCTCAGATCTAGTCTGACTGACCTGTGTGAGGTATTCAAGTCCTGGCGGGACCCCAGTAGCAACCATAGGCACGGCTGGCGAGATCCCCATTGGTTGGCCTCCATACTCCGGCCCCTGACCTGGTCCCACTGGGCCCGGCTGATACATAACAGGTGGTGGGCCCTGATGGTATTCCATGTTGAAGCCTGGTGGAGGGGCTTGAGCTGGATCTCCAAAGCCCCCTCCTGGATAAGGGGGTCCAGAATAACCACCTGGGTAAGCTGGAGATGAAGAACAGTATTATTTACTCTTAGATTTCACTTCATTTTTCCAGTTTAAATTTAAAATATATGGAATTTAAGGTTTGATTTGTAAATGGAAAAATATACTAAATAACATCTTTGTTGTTTTATATTAGAAACTCTGATGTTTGAATATATCCAAATGTGCCGGATGTCCAAGTCAGCTTTAGCTCATACATGTGATAGGTTTGGTTTCTAAGGGTTATATAACATATGGTACATAATAATGTAGCAAATAAGAGCAAAAGTCCAGGTTTTGGGCCAGACCATCTCTGAAACGTCCCACTATTTTACAACTTTCTGAACTAAATTAGACGAATCTGGGTGTAAATGGATTAGAACTGAGCTCCTTTAGTTTGTGCATTTTGCCCTGGGGTGACTTCTGATTTATCAATCAATCAAATTATAGCGCCTTCCACTGCCATTACTCGAGCCCAAGGTGCTGAACACGACATAAAATAAAAAAGCAGAAGACAATATAAAAGCAGCATGTAAAACGACTAAAATGATAAAAGAGACAAAAAAGAAGACCATATTACATAAAAGCCAAATGATTAACGTTTTAAGGCCAGCAGTGATGGTGACTGTTTGATAACAAGTGAGAGGTCGTTCCAGAGTGTAGAAGCCAGGACAGAAAAGAGCCGATGGCCTCTAGTCTTGTACCTGGTTCGTGGGACTATTAGTAATTCCTGATCAGTCTAGCGTAGGGAGCGTGAAGTGGCGTGCATTTGCAGTAACCCAGCCAGATGTGGTGGGGCACTACAGTGGAGGGTCCGGAAGACGAACAAGACTTTAAACTTTGCCTGGTAAGCCACAGGGAGCCAGTGTAGTGAGACAAGCAAAGGTGTAATGTGAGTCGTTTCTGTGCTGCCTGACTCGGCCCAGCATGAAGTGCATTGCAACAATCAAGCCGCGATAAAACAAATGCATGCAGGACAGACTCAAGATGCACTCTTGACAACATCGGCTTGACCTTGGCGAGACGGTGCAAGTGAAAAAAACAGGTTCTCACAACCATGTTGATGTGGCTATCAAATATGAGTTCAGAATCGATCATCAAATCAAATCAAACTTTCATGCATAGGATGCAACACAAAGTGCTTAACAGATTAAAATGAAAAATGACCCACATAACCCACATTCCCTCCCTTTCCCCACACTTAAAACAACTGTGACAGTTTCACCCCCCAATCCACAAACCATTCCCAGGCGCGCACGCATGCACACGCACACACACACACACACACACCACATTAAAAGACCAAAGTAAACACTAGGCTGAGCTCAGATTGGACAGGTAATGAAAGACACGCCATCAAGGGAGCCATCTGCCTCGACAGCAGCAGATCCACAACAGCAGCCAAGACACCAATGCAGGGCGCCCTGGGAGGGAGGGTGGCAACCCTCACCACTACCTGGGCATTACCCTAGGAGCGCCCCAGCCACCGCCACCAACCACCGGTCCCGAGGCAGAGGGCTCCACAGAGCAAACACTGGAAGGATTAAAATACGTGACATGTAAAATAACAAGAGCTAATATGGAAAATATCTCAAATGTATGATGTAAAATATCCAATAAAATGTGATTATACAAATAAAACAACATAAATGTCTAACACAGCAGTAATTTTAATAAATAAATAAGTAAAACAAGCAATGCAATAAATAGTAATCAGTTAAAAGCTAAACTAAAAAGGGTCTTGAGCCTGTTCTTAAAAACACAGCTGACTTCTGGTGTGGTGTCAGAGCATCCCCCCTTTGCTAGTAGGGTGGAATGTAATAAATTCAGTCTTGCTCTCATTAACATGGAGGTAATTTGCTGCAAGCCATAACTTGACCTCCTCCAGACAAGTCAGGAGCTTGGCGATGGAACCTTCCACCTCAGGACACAGGAGACAGAAAAAAAGGCCCCAAAAATAAATAAATAAATAAATAAATGAGTCATTCATGGTGCAAATGAGGAGGAAAATGGGAACAGGAAGTATTTTTTAAACATGCTGCTTTTATCTAGAAGAGCAATTCCTGGTTTCTTGTCTAAGAACTACATCACTGATGATGGTGGTTGGTCTAATGGGTTCAGAGGGATTATGGAGCATCATTCTGAACCACAGCACTTTAAAAGAAGAGGAAGTGAAGCGCCCATGGATTTGTCCCTAAATACATGTTTACACTAAAAAGCATGAAAACTGTGCAGAAATTAAGCAGATTTTCAACAATAAATGTGCATTGCAGCTCAAGAATATTTAGATTTCAACAACATTTTAATAGCTAATCTCTAAGATTACGTTGTAACTGAACTCCCAGAAGTGAAATAAATCTATACAAGTTATGGTGGTTCTAACTGGACTTTAATTGAGTTCAAATAACCCTCATTTTGTCCATTTAAAAGATGGTCACAAGAAACCTTTGAAAAAAATCATTAGCAATCTCAAAAGGCGATGTTTTTTTTTAATCATAAACATAAAACTCCAGACATTCAATTAGATCTGATTCTACAAAAAGTATTTTGTATGTTAAATGGTGCATGAATGACATCCGGTGGTCCATTTTGGGTACTGCAACCCATGTATCAAAACAAACAAGTCCACTTAACTGTTGCCAGCTACAGGTCAGCACCAGAACTTTCTAGATGACGAGTCATACACAGTAGGCTGATAAGTGGGAAAATACATTTCACAGTAATATGGAATTGTCAGTAACTGAAAAAGCAGCTTGAGACATTTTTAGACCAGACAATGTTTTTTCTATTTCACCGTTAGCATTGTTAGCTCAATGTTAGCATCTAACCTTGATATTAGAGTGAACCAAAAGGATGCCGTGACTTCATAGGGGGGTACAAGAAAAAAAATACTTCTGGGTCGCTCCTGTTTACTGGCCAACATTCCTGCCACAATGGTGCTTTTTCCCCAACAGGTGTCCAACTACAAATGCCGAACAATTTGAAAGGAGAAAAACTGACAATCCCCCACCCAGCTGAGAAGGAAATCCGTTTCAGTACAAACTCCCTTCCAACATGATTGAGATGTTAGACCGTTTTATGATTATTTCACTGTAAAATTCTTACTCTTTAATTTTATTTAAAGGAAAAAAATTAAAGAACCTAAAACAAGAATTTGCAGGTCAGAGATGTACAAGAGTTGGTGAAAAGTTATCAGTACACCTCTCCTTCCTGTCTGATTGTCTCGGTTTAAGCTCCGGTTTCTTAATGTCAATAGATTTGAAATATTCTGTTGAGGTAATTATTTAGATAAGAGTTCATTAACCTTTCTATGAAGGAACTGATGACTCTAGAATTGCACTTCAAACTAGCATTTACACCAAGCCCCCACAATGCAGGTGAAAAATTGAAGCAATCCCGGAAGTGAAATAAATTGCAGTTCCACCCTCATCCGCTGGGGGCTGGTGTCAGAAGCGGGCAAATCCTCATCGACTCCCATGTTAAAAATACCAATTTCACAGCAGAAATAAACATGTTTACAGCCTGGTACCAAAACATGTTTTCGGTTTAAATGATCTAGTTTACACTCATGACAACTCTGAGGGGGGGTGAATTTTTTTCTCACTCTTCTGTTTAAGTGTATTAAAAGCCTAAAATTCTGTATAATTAATGAGCATCAGACCCACGTGACCACAGAGCTAGCTCCGGGGAAAGCCTCAGTAGAGCCTCGGTCTGGCCTGGAAACTGTTCCGCGATTTTTGGTCTCTGAAATTAGACCAGTAGTTGTAGCGTTTGTGCGTACTTTTTTGGATATTTTTTGTGCAATTGTTGGACAAAATGACTTGCTGTGGCATTAATTGCACTAATAGAGCGTCCAAGGAGTCTCCACTTCATTTTTTTCGGTAAGTAAAATTATATTTATGTATTTTAGGTCACTGCCGAGCTGAGCTTAGATTTTAACATGTACTGTTTAACCATGAAATTTAAATGTAATAGGGTAAAACTCAGTGCATTTAACATAATGCTGCACTTTAGAAAATGGGTTGAAATATAACATGTTGGTGGAGCTGGGTTCCCACTATCGGCTTGTGGAGCTCTCGGGAGATTTCCACCTGGTTCTCCCCTTCCCGCAGCTCTGCGCATCTCAGATCGCAGCGGCGCTTGTCTGCTGTGCGGCTGCCGGCTTGTGGAGCTCTCGGGAGACCTCTGTGTTCCACCTGGCTTTACCCGGCGTATCTCTGACTCAGAAGCTCTGGTGTTGTGCACAGTTAACTCTGGTTGTAGCTAGGTTGCTACCTCCGGTAGCTTAGCTCCCACCTCCGCATTAGCTTCAGGTTAGCTTGTAGCTAGTTCGACCGGGTGTCGTCAGTTGATCCCAGCCTTACAGCCACACCCTCAGCTCCACCTCTCCTCCCTTTTGTGGAATTGTCTGGGCTTGACGGAACCTGTGACACGGTCAAAATGGCGGGGGTGGGAACCTCCCATTTCTCTGTTATTGGGGTTTATAGCAACCCATTGTCCAATATTTATATGTTGATGATTTACACCAGTGGTGACCACAGGAACATTAGTACACGTCTATTACTCATGTGTGCTTTGCTTTCCTCTCAGAGTTCAACAGAAAGTAAATGATAAATACCCCCCACAACCACTTATTGCTGAGGCAGAAACATAGAACACAAACATCAGAAAAGAGGAAGTCACTATTTTTTATTTTTTTGTTTGATTTACTTTTACATGAAACATAAATTCTCAGTGGTTTCTGGCCTAATCTAGTTTGTTCTTGTGAACTCTGTTGAACACCTCCATCTCTGATATTAAAGCTGTCAAGCTTTCAGTTTTATCTTCAGTAAATATGTTCCTCTGGATATCATCTCACCCCTTATCGAGGCTTGGCATGCATCAGCAGGGTATTTTTTTTTCCCCTATGATTTGGCGGTTAGTTTGTTTTTTTTAAACAAATTATTTTCTAAACTCCCCTTCACTAAAATTGAATTTAGTTTCCACAAAGCCAACTTTTAATCCCTAGATGTGCGTAAAA